GGAATTAAACACTGTTTTATAGTCAAGAATTCCAAATGGAAATATTTCTGGCATTTATCAGTATTTGAATGTTTAAGTTTGCAATATAACCTTTGTCTTTTAGCACTGGATGTATGAGTACATATGCACATGTCCCCTTCAAATTCAAATCAGTAGAAGCACAGGTTTTTTCTGTAACTTTTAAAGAAAAAAGCAGATTTATAGAGTATCATATAATTCATATTGGCACATATACTAAAATGAACATATGACAAGTATATGACAGATGAAAGTACTGTAAAATCTGCCTTTATCATCATTTCACTAAATTGTGCTATGGAACTGCTTGATTTTATTTCCTCTGCATGACACGATTTATTTAATTTCCAAGAGTCTTCTGCTACACATGATAGTTCCTTTTTGATGAGGCAGAGAGATACAGAATTTCACTGGAGAGAGAAATACACGGCTCTTTATTGCACAATTTTTTTTTGCCCATAAATTTTAGACTGGTTACGATTAAAAGAATATACTTGTCCTTTATGTACAACAACTCATCTTTATAGAAGCATACCCATATATGCATTTTTGTGGGGAGTAATCAAGAGGCAGTGTAGGAATTAATTACCAAGAATATTCTAATTGGTTATCCCGAGAAAGATGGTAAATCTTTGATTACATTTTCTACTGATGATTTAGAATAGGGACTACATATTTCATGATATATAGGATAAATCTATATTTAGATTGCAAGTAGTAGCTCTATTTCTAAAATTTTAAATGTGTTCTTAGATCCTTTGAGAAGGAGTTTAATAGAGATATCCTCCTCATCTGTCTTTCAAATCTAAGTGTTGATGAGTAGTACTCTCAGTCTTTTCAATATGACTATTCCTAACCTAAAAAAGGTGATGGTAAAAATGCCATTCTACATCTAAAGACAGAGCAGCTTTGTCTAAGTCCATAAGGAACTTTAAAAAATACGTTTTACTCTTATTTTTCAAAAATATCAGTACCATATACATGTACTTTTCTACTGTATAATTGAATCTTAATACTTATACAATATTACATATAATTCTATTTTAGTCTCAGACTCCCACTGTAACTAAGTTATGAATACATTCTAGGACTTCAGTTTGTAGTACAGGTTATGCAGTGCAGCATACTCATGGGTAGTATTCACATTAAATACCAATAATCCAATCTTCACCAGTCAAATATTAATAGAATGATGTCTCTATCTGTACAGCAAGTGGCTACTCATGGCATAAAAAGTGGTGATCAGTGCCAAGTCAATTTTGATTTTTAATTTTCAACCACTTGTCAGTTTAGCACCCAACTATTTGGGTGCTGGATTTTTGCCACAATCTCTTATATTCTTATCAGAAGGATGACTTGGGGCTGATATGGTACAAAATTAGGTCTAAAGAAAGAAGATTTTTATGAAACTTGCATCAGTTAGAAATGTCTCTGTATTTCTAAATTTTTCTCTCTTCTTAAAGGCATGTTTGCCATGAGCTCTGAATTTTAAACTTTCCACTTCAACGTATTCATTGTATGTTCTTTTTTGAGTTCCTCCTGTGTTGCATCTGGGAGTAACATATAAATCTTGGGAGATTTATATATCCTAGAGTCTTCTTTCAGCTGCCATCATGCATGTGGCTACAAGAAAAAGCCTGCTGGGCTGCTGGTTGTAGTGACATTCTAAGTTTGCTGGCAGTAATCACCACACACTGTTTCTTATTCAGGAACTGCAAAAGCCTAATAATTATGAAGGGTGTTCTTAGTTATCCCATTCCCGAGAAAAACCTGGGGGTTTTGCCCCAAATTCTCATTTGTTCTGTGGATCTATACTCAAAACAGTACCTTTAGATCCAAGTTCCAGGACACTGTTTGAGGATGAACCCTGCCAAAGTGATTGTAATAACATTTATAGAAAAGACATTACAATTTCTACATAGGGAAATAGTCTCACTGGCTCCCTGACTCCCTCACTGTGGCACCTCTGTGAGACAAAGAAACTGTACATAAAATACCAGTTTTCGTTCCCAGGGTCATTCAGAGAGTGAGTGCTAAAAAAGGAAACATAACTCTTTGGAGGCTAGAAGCCAATACACTACTACTCAGATGGTGCTGAGAGGATATTACTTGGTCCTGGGGCACACAGTAGTAGTCAGGTAGAAAGAAAGCTTAGGCTCTTATTTTTGCAACAGGGATAAAATGACCTCCAAAGTGTTGTTAAAAAGGTCCTCTCAAAAACTTCAGATTTCATAAGATTTATATGAGATATATTGGTTTATTCAGAACTTTAATTAAGAATTGTAAAAGTCCTTTATTTCATTAATGGAAGATGTTTGCCTGCAAATTAGAGATTAATTTATGCTTGTTTTTAATTGTTGGATGCCACCACAATTGGTGCTGCATAAAAATACATACAGTACATAAAATATGAATTAAAACAAGTGAATAATTATAATCACATCAGCCTAAAGGCAGGAGGCATTTTAATATCAGAGTCTAGTAATGGTGCATGAATTAAGAAGGATTAATTTTTCTGAGACAGTTCAGAAGTATTTAGCCTTTATTCTGCCCTTATTTAAAATGCCTCATATAATACATCTCAGTATTTTACATAATTTAAAGTTTCATAAGGCATTTTGTTCTCACTCTACGAGGTTCTTCAACATACTGAAACACTCCTAAGATCTTAGGTCTACAAATAATAATCTTCCAAACAGATCCTTTGTTCTGAGGCTTTGCATTGGTAATCAGTAGTATCAGTGCCTGTTATAGACCAACTTCCTAATTTACAATGGTGCTTCTCTTATGGAAATAAAAATATACTTAGATATGTAGGTAGGTGTGTATGTATAGTTAAAGGCATTCTGCATTGGTCAGAACTTAACAGACTGTTTAGCATTAAGATGTCATGGAAAAGTGCTTATATTCTCTACTCTCAAGTATTATTTAGTTAATGTGGGTGGCAAATGTACAGCAGAAAACAGACACTGACAGACAAATCAGAGGCAACATCCTGTAGTTTTGTGTTCTTCGGAAACAGATAACATGTATGAACTCTACACGTTAGGACACATACTACAGAAAGACACTGCTTCAGTGCTTGCTTAGCAGCAAGGTTACTAACCATGAGCAAAGTATTTCACAATATATATAATTTTGAATCTTGTTCTAGTGATTGTTCAGCTGGAGTTAACTATATATAGCTAAAAATAAGAGTATCTGAGGGCATTTCTGTGTTTAGCTCAGATATTTGCAGGAAGCTTTGTAGCAGTGAGACTCTTACTGGCCTGAGTGTATCATAGCAGATTTTATAGCTATTATAGTAATGTGCTTGAGTACGTATCTGGAGTTTCTTAAGCAATTCAGCAATAGAAGAAGATGTGGTGAAATTAGGAAGATTTCTAAGGGGAAAAAAATGAGAATCCTTACCAATTGTAAAAGTTTCACTGGAGCGCAGAGGTTGTATTACCATATTAATGCCATTACTAAGGTTTTGATAAACACATTACATATGAATATTAACATGAGATAGCCTGGATTCAAGCTTTTCACAGAGCATAGAAACATTATCTTGGGTTCCTGAATGCATGTCAGCATAGCCTTTTATCCTGCTTTGTAACACGTCTTCTGTTTCAGTTCTGGGATTCTGGGTCTTTCCTCTACAGAGTCTTCCAACTCTAACAGATTATTTCAAAGTATGTGGTAGCTTTGTGATGTGAACAAATATCTACTGAGATCAGATTCTTTAAAGTATATATGAATAGTAAATTAGGTAGATGGAGCACTTGTTTGCCTGCAAAGTGTTTCAGTTCCCTCAGCATGTGAGCTTTCTCTATATTAAAAAGCAAATCACAATCAAAGAGCCTTACATGGGTTTTATATTTTGACCTTGGGCAAGTCACTGAGCCCCCTGTGGTTTGGTTTGAAGCTCAGATTCTTGCATGTGCAAAATGCTGATGTTCTGTGCATCGAGGTGTACATTTTTTTCTTTTCTTTTTTTTTTCTTTTCTTTTTTTTCTTTTCTTTTTTTTTTCTGTGTAGAAATATATGAATCCTACAGCTAACTTACTTTTTTTTAAGTTTCTAAAACTTTTTTTCTTTTTTTTCTTACTCTTGGCCAGTGCTATACACACAAACTGCATGTCTGTGTCTATTTCCATAGACATGCATTCCATGGCTATTTCCATAGACATTTTATCCCTATCTGCTACTTCAGTAGCAGAAGTTCTTCAGTTTGCAGCACAGAGGTCCTGAGTTTTGCCTGTGTGCTTAAGGAGAACTCTTACTGAGTCTTAATCTTGTCTGCAACACCTTCTGTGACCCCAGAGTTCACAGTCTGCCTCTTCTTTGACTATGAATCCTTCTTTTTCTCTTGTGGGAAGAACAGTACATGTTTTTTTTCCTGGAAATGACCTGAAAGGCTCTTTTTTATAGCAACTTTCTCACTCTTAAAACTATAGTTGAGGACTTTGTGCACAGTTTTTCACCCCCTGGGGTATTATGAGGTGATTAAACCACTGAACTACTGCCCATTTGCTGGTCCCCCAGAGTCTTCCACTCCAGGCCCCTTCATGATTTGTTGACTTTAGGAAGTGCTTCTCCTGCTCCTATTTACGTTTCTTTCTGTCTTGCCTTCCTCCTGCTCCCCCAGCCAAGTGTTTCTAATACCAATTTAATGTGTTTTTTTCAGAATGTGATTTTAGGAATAGAAAATTTCCTTCTCTCCTGAAAGGATAAAGGCAGAGTTGTCTGCAGGCTCTACGCAGCATCACCAGGCCCAGAGCCGAGGTAGCCCTCTGCTGGACAATGATTAACATTCGAAGGACCCAAACCTAGGAAGAAGTACCCAAAAAGAAAATAGAAATCTAATTTTCTTGGTAGCTCTGTAAGTAAAAAGCAGAAGCACAACTTCCTTTCTTGCCAGGATGTGGAGGAAAAGGTAAGTAGTTTGGGCATGATAAAAGCATGAGACCACAAAGTTTGTCCCTTGTCCCTTTCAGATTTTGCCACAGAGCATTTGCAGGAGAAATGATGCTGGTTGCTTAAAGAGCCTACTGGTTATGAACTCCAAACCTTGCAGAGGTGAATAGTTGTCTCTGAATATCATGTTTCCTGCATTAAAAGACGAAAGGCAAATGCCATTTCTTGGGGTTTTTTTGGCTGAAGTTCTGATCTTTTCCTAAAAATTAAAGCACACTGTGAAGTGGGGGTTATTGAAATTTATAGAATTATGTATAGGGTTAATCAAGATCCCTTGTTGAAAATGATACATTCTTTTCCTTCTTTGCCTTGACAGGCTTCCTGGAATTTCTGACTTAGTATCTTGACCTTTTTTCCTGTCTTTTAATCTTTCAAATATTCTTCGGTTTGGGTGCAGTTTTTAACATTTATTATATACTTGTCTCAGTTGTGTCAATGCACAGAGGAAATAATCCTTGATTTTTCTGGTGAGCCTATCCCAGCTAAGATGATAAATTGTGTCTGGGATCAAGTGTTCAGACTGCAACTGTCCAGACAAGCTGATTGGTGATTTCATGCCTTCTCTCAGAGGCTTGTTTTATATAGTCATTGCTTTCTGTATTAGCTCCTTTTAACTCCTATGCCTCTCAACACTTTATGTTGACTTTATGTTGACTTTCCACTTAGTTCTTTTAGCTTATTTCTGAATCCAGGGACAGACTCTAATTTGAGCAAAAGTGCTTTTTTTTTGTATTTGCTGAATGCCTTTGGAACACAGTTTTTATGGATGGAAAAAAGCAAGATGAAGAATAAATTAAAAGATATTATGCTCTCTTCCACCAGTGTCCTAAAAACCCTGGATGATGAACAGACACATTTGCTTGTATTCAGAGATAAGTTTTATTTCTTTTTATTCTTTTAGTGGGCAATGCATACTGATGTGTTTTAAAAAGCAGACAAATACACATAATCCTATGAAATAATTTTGTTGGGCATCTAGGAAAAGTTTGCTTAGTTGTTTGAGGTTTCCTGAGGTAAACATAGGACTCTCTTATTCTTTTTGTATTGAATGGAAAATTTATGTTAATTATTCTACCTTAACTTGGATTGTCACTTTAAATTCACCTGCTGAGTACTGTCAACTGTTGGTATCTGTGTTCATGTCTGAAGATGTCCATATTCATTACTAGATTCCTTTAGCATAACAAAGCTTGGAATTAAATGCAACCCAAAAAGCAAGCATTTATCATTCTGTGATGCATTGAGAGCTAGTGCTGCTAAATGAAAGGATTGTTTCAGGCATTAACAGTCCAGTCTGTTTATGGAACTCTGTCCATTTCTGGTGGAACTATTGCAAGAACAACAACATATTACCATCTGTGTCCTCGGCAGAGGCTTCATATTTGAATGTTTAGCATTTCAAAAATCGTACAGATGTTGATATTGCATTATTCATTTAGTTGGAGACTGCCACAGCTGTGTACCTTCCTGTATATTCTTTCAAACAATCTGGCAGCAGACTCTAATTTGAGCAGGGCAGAGTACAGACTGCAATTTTGATGGGCATGACTCTGCTATACATAATTTGTGCCTATTTAGCAAACTTACATTCTCTGAAGAAGCAAAATGGAGTATTGTCACTGCACTCCAGCAATTTCAGTATTCCAATGACAATATAATATGTTGAAAATGAACATGCCTTGTGGATATCTGAATGTTTCTGTGGTATTGAAATTATTTCAGAGAATCCTTTCAAATCAACATATCATCTTGTCAATCAATACATCATCTTGTCAATCAATACATCAACTTGTCAATCAATAGATTGATAGAGTGAAAGAAGTGGAGCATCAACAAAAGCAAGAGAAATAGTGAAGGGAAAAGGAGGAAAATAATATGACAAAAAACGGAGGGAAGGATATGGAAGAAATGGAAGAGAGTGTGAAATGCATTGCATATTAAAAAACTGAAAAGAAGCAAACAAAATGGAAACACATAAAAAAATGAAGAAATAATTAATTAAATGGTTAAGAAGGGAAGTAAAAACTCAAGAGAGTTCATGAGAAAATATTTGGTGAGATACAGAATGACATTAAATACCATCTGAGTTAATCACTTAAATACCATCTGAGTTAGCTACTTGAGAGGATATCGGATTCAAAAACACAGTTTCTCAAATATTTCTAGTGAGTAACTGGTTAAAAATACTCTACTTTTCCTGTGACTGCACAGCAGGAAGAAAACGGGGCTGGAATCCAAATTGCCAAATGTCCATTGAACACGATTCTTCCCCAGGAATCAGAACAAAACTCTGTTTGTTTATTTCTACTCATAGAATCTGATATTGGAAGTTATTCAATTGCTTGAAAGCAATTTGTTTTCATAGCTTGTGACTGGGAAGCTCTGCTAACTTTATTGATAATACTTTGAATCCACTACAGTGATACCAAAAGTGAAAAGTGACCTTAACTCAGTGATATCTCCTAAAAGGTGGTTGGTGCTTTATGAATTTTTAGGGAGTTGGATCATGATTGTTTTATTATTTTCTTTTCACTTGTTAAATCTCCATTATTGAAAACAACAAATTCACACATTGGATGATTCCCTTGCATAGTCTGAAAGAACCTCCTCATCCTATTTTCTGTGTTTGAGTAACAGCAATTGAAATCCATATTCAAAATGTAATGAAAGAATGAGCATAGTCATCTCTGCTGCTGCCCATCTAAACTAACCATCACAATTTAGGAAACATTTACCCCTTTGACGTGGTAAAAGTAACCAGAAACATTACCTTATACCTTCTTTGTTCTTACAGCTCTCCTTTTCCTAGGGGAAGACTAGTTTTCTGGCATGTTTCTAGACTCCAAATGGTTGCTTTTTCCAGGGTCAGAAAAAATGAATTTGTCACCGGACAAGGCATATTTATTTTCAGCTCCCATACATGTAGTTGGAAAGGCAAGGAAGGGACTGTGTGTGGCTTTAAATTTCACTCATTCTAAGTGAATGACAGTGGTTTTCTCATTCCTCATCTGAAGAGGATGACCCTTAGGTGCTTAATGCCATGGAATCCTTGCTCCAGGACTCTGCAGGGAAAGCTCAGTGCCATCATCCTACACTTGTATGCAAATTTTGTAGTCTGACCCAACTGGACAATTTAAATAGAACTGTGTGATCATTACGGAGGAGGGCCACACTGCTCTACATCTCTTTATTTTTCTTATGGGAAAGTTTAATAAGGCTCTCACCTGTTGGATGCAATCTATTCCACAGTGTCAGTGTCTTACTTTTCTGGAGAAAAAATTAACATCTTTTGGGACAAGTGTAATGAAACAACTGTTCAGCACCTGGTAACAGCCAAGCCAGTAGAGTTCAGTTCTCATGAAGAACTGGAGGAAACACAGTTGGTCAGTAGTGAAATAGAACAATTTTATAAAATCAGTCATGTTTTCACCTTGAACTCCCTGCCCTACTTGGATTATCCAGATGGAAGGGTGACAAAAATTATTTGTAGCATTCTGTTTTATTGCAGAGAGACAGACAAAAATATTTAGTTATTTAGAGGACTGGATTTGTTGGAGCATAGGAAGATTAACCCAAGTAACCATTTATTTTTGATGCAAAACACTCAAATTAAAAGTGTCCTTTTAAATGTATAGGAGGAACCACACTTTACATAGCAGAGTTAATGTGTGAAACTCCCTGACAAGAAAATATTAACAGTGTTCTTTGGTAAAGATTGGTCATTTATAGCAAGAACAAGGAACTGACCATAATTTATACTATTACAAGTTTAATTTCATATTTATCAGATAGGGCATAATCTTAGCTGTGAGGTCCTCTGTAATGAGTTATTTCTCAAATAGTTGCTCTCAATTTGTCAATAATATCTCTGTTACAGGAATGCTTGATGTTTGAAACAGATGGTATGGATAATCAGTCCAGCAGTTTAATTACCTTGGTAGCCTCATCTCCTCGGATGGTAAGATTGATGGAGAGATACACAACAGGTTAGCAAAGGCATAGAGAGCTTTTGGAAAGGACCACCGCCTCCCTAAGATCTTGCTTTATGGTGAACTTGCTACCAGCTGCCACAAGAGAGGAGCCCCGAAGAGAAGATACAAGGACTCCCTGAAACAACATCTCAGCCTTGGCCATATTGATCAACATAACTGGTCTACTCTGGCCTCCAATCGGGAGGCCTGGAGACACACCATCTATAACGCTGCTGATGCTTTTGAGAAAGCACACAGGATCACCCTTGAGGAGAAAAGACAATGCAGAGAGAATCGTGCCTTGCAGAATATACCACCTGAGGAGTCTTTCTGATGTGCCTTTTGCAACTGAACGTGCCTATCTTGTATTGGCCTTGTTAGCCACCAACGCGCTTGCAACTAACGTGGGTAGAGCCCTCCCCAAATCTTCATTTGCGAAGCCCAGCCATGATGACTCTCAATTTGTCAATAATATCTGTGTTACAGGAATGCTTGATGTTTGAAACAGATGGTACGGACAATGCTAGAGATATTAAAAGTACCAGTAATGTAATATGGAACACAGAGCTGCATTCTTATAGATAACCTGTTTTCCTTACAAAGGAAAAAATGGGCTACTTTAAAGTCATTCCTTCCCTTTTCTAAACAAAAAGTAGATAAAATATTTTAAATAAATATTTATACTTAAAGGTTGTCTTTTGTAAAGTTCTTGTTGCCTTTGTTCTTGAAAACAAGACTATAGTTTTTCCATATTTTATAACTAATTTAATTATGAAGTATTATGACATCAAATGTAAATTTTGTGCCTTCACTCAGAGGATATGCTTATTGATCATTACTGATGTTATTAACCTATGGAATTTCTAATCTGCCTTCCAACACTTTATCTGCAAGCCAGTGTGAAAACAAAAATAAGAAATTAGATAATAAGGTGTAACATTTTTCCCTCCTGTCCTTGTAAAACCAAACTTTTCTTCCTCCTTCTGCTTTTAAAAAAATATTTCTACTGTGATTTTTAATGTTTCCCCTTGATCCTTAGTCCTCCATGATTCTTTGATGAAGTCTAATTTTACCAGCATTTTGTGCAGTAACTTTTGCTGAGTTTTATTAACCAGGAGTGTACTTTGATCTTTTCTTTACATGTCCATACTTCCCAACATCAAACAGCAAAAATCCTGGAAGCCCTAGCAGTAAAAGAAAAAAAAAAAGAAAAAAAAGTGTTTTAAACTACCATTGAAATTCATGGGGCAAATTCTGTTTTTACTTGTGACATTATGAGAAATGAAAAGTTTCAGAGCCTAAAGACAACTGAGATAGGGTAGGAGATAATATCAGTGATATCTGTCATGGTTATTAGGAGACAGGTGAAAGGATTAGATGCTACATAAACAAGAACAGCAACAGTGAAACAAAACTGCCAGAGAGGAGCTGGGGGAAATCAGTGAGTATATCCACCCATTCTGATCCTTAACCTACCAATGTTTGTTTTTCAATAAAGCGATTTGTGTAGGGATCCAATCACATAAATACACAAGTTTTGTGTTCAACCTGACCCTTATCAGTTTGTTTTATCTATTTTCAAACCATTATTTTTCAAAACCCCCATTGTTTCTCCATGAATTATGCTAACTAGAAAGTTGAGGAGGGTAAGCGGGAGAAAAAAAAGCATTTTTAACTTTCTGGGAGTATTATTCATTTAATGTATAATACAAGAAAATGGCTGTTACCTAGTTTTTCTTAAAAGCTTAGATCCTTTCTAATATTTAAAAAATATTATATTAAAAGCTGAAGTACTTTCAGACCATCAAATTTTCTGATGCTATAATTTTGAGAAGTTATTTTACAGTTTAAATTGCCGTAGCTTCACTTAAAGAGGCAAGCAAAACTATACCAGTTAAAGAGAAGCTCTGGATGTGGTTATGGCTCTTATAGGTACAATAAGGTATATGCTTTTGTTGTTATTTATATTGCAGTTGCTCCTAGGAGCTGTGCTTATTACCAGGCCCCACTATTTTGGAGCGACATGTACAAAGAACAGAAAACTGTATTGAGAAGTGACGCTGTCTTTTGTACACTGGTGACTAGATGGCATGAGCACTGCACTAGATTGTTTGCAAAAGGCAAAAATAGTTAATCTCAGTCATATTTCTGCCCCACTTAGGTATGCTCTGTGCAGAAGTTTTCACACTCTGCAACAGTAGGAAAACAATTCAAAAGCCTTTTAGAGGAAAGAGAAAGAGCTCTTTATTTCCTCTCCTTGTTTAGAAAGAAAATGGTTTTACACTTAATAAATTCTGTCTTGCTTTGAGATTTAATACGGCTAAATGAGCTGATTCCTTTATTAAGGCCATGCAGTATCTGTCTGTATACAACATTCTTAGGAATATCTATAAATTCTTCAGCTAACTTCTGCAAGTTTACCCCTTCTTCCTGTAGAGTTACCTAAGCCTATGGAGAAATCTCCATGCATTAAGAAAAGTGAGGTGATGGTAGAATCATGAAATGGCTTGGACTGAAAGGGATCTTTAGTACTCATCTAGTCCAATTCTCCTGACATGGACAGGGGCACCTTCCACTAGACCAGGTTGCTCAAAGCCCCATCTAACCTGACCTTGAATGCTACCAGGGAGGGGGCACTCACCACCTCATTGGGCAACCTGTACCAGTGTTTCACTCATCATAAAAAAATGTCTTTCTTATATCTAGTCTCAAATAATGTTCTTGAAAATAAATGTTCGGTTTGTGTGTAGTTTTTGGGGTTTTACCTACCCTAATACCTTTTCTCATTCTCTCTCTCTTGCTGAAAGTGGGGGAATATACCCTTTCACTTTTCATTTTCCAGAGAATATATGTTGTTCTGCTTTACAAATGACCAAAACATTCTAGACCTTGTTTTTTTCTACCATGTTAAAAAGTCTACAATTACTAAGTGAAATTCCTCTGTACTGTTTCATTTATAAAAATCAAATTATACATATGATTTGCCTCTCAGGATTAGAAAATAAAGAAAAATTATAAAGAAATACATTATATATTATATAAAGAAAAGTTGCCTAGAGATGAGAAAAACCAAATAGCTGATAGGACTGGTCCCCATGTCAGACAATACTTGTTCCTACGGTCGGTAGCAATGCTTCAAAATCTTTCAGGCTCTTCATCCCCAGCATCTCTTCAGTTTTTTATGTGCATTATGGATTCTTCTCTTGTGGAAAACATCCCTGCTTTGATGTGTCAGAGGTTATTTTTTTCGCAATTGTTTTTAAAATTGTAAAATCTTGTTAGCTGAAATATTAACATTAAACCTTTCTTTCTTAAACACATGCAAATTGCAGCAGAGAGAAGAACCTTGTGTTAATGGACCAGACCTATCACCTCCTAAGGCATGAGAAGTAAATGAAAATGTAGCTAATGAGTTCGTTACTGTGTCTGTGAGTAGGTCAATGTGAAAAACAGCAAGGATGGTAGAATATGCTGCAGTGACAAGGTATGGAGAGGAATATTTATGCAGCTTTTTCTCAAACTATGAAAGATGGTTTCTTAATTTTAGGCTCTGACAAAGAACCTGTATGGAAGTTTACCTCAGACTTCCTTCAATGGCTCACTAAAGTGATGTTTTTCTATTCATAGTATTTGGGTACTTTCTTGAAGCAAGGCACTCACTAAATTTCTCCAAAATTTTTCTTTTAAAATAAAAAAGAAAAATTACATAAATGAAGTATTCAACCCAGAATCTCCTTGCTGCAGCTTCAGTATGCAATAAACATAGATGGCTTTAATAAAGATAGTAAAACTTTTGTAGTTCCATAAAAGTTCAACGATAAATTAACACTAAATGGAATGCTAAAGTTTGAGCAGGTTTTATCCCTTGAACTTAATGGCCAAGATCTTTGGCTTCTGGTAAGAAACACGCAAGGCAGATCAGGTGAAGGATATTCAAGGGTGTCTTTCAGCATTTCTTACCATACTACTTTTCCATACAGGAGAGAGAACCTAGAAAACTGCACTAAAATATGGCCACTGCTAATTGCAGTTACAGTCATTGCAGCTGAAAGGTGGATGGTGGATTTCATGATTTTTTGCTCCCTTTATTTTAGGATGACCATATCTCTTTTAAGTTATATTGTGGGAGTAACTTCACAGGTTACTGCTAGGAGATAACCATGATGTCAAGAAATCATGTTAGCAAGTGCAATTATTTAACACTCGTGCTATTCTGGCTACTTCATGCTATAAAGTGATTTTTTTTCTTTTTTTTTAAACGCTGCCTCTAAAATTCCCTTGCATGAGTTTTCATAGGTCATTTTTATGGCAGCACAGAGCTGTGAACGATTGGGTCATGCATCTTTATAGTGGAGAAACACATGATAAAATAACACTCATTACCAGAATTACATAAAAGGAAATCAATGTTTAGATTCTCCACTTATTTTCATTTATTTCCTCACATGTCTTATGTTTAATTGCTTTTCTTAGACTTTGTTATTAGCTTCAAAAAACCCCTTGATTAGAACACTAATGCTGTCTTCAGCCCGTCACAAAATATAATGCCTAACACCCGCTTTTGTCCCTCTTTTCCTTCTCCTGATTGATTGTATGACTGATTTGTTCAAAAGGAAGCTCCTAGGAATCAGCAAAACATGTACACGTGGCATTTTATACGTGAACATCCTAGAGTCAGAACTATTTCCATTCCTCATGTGTTTTAGTTTAAGTACAATCTACTGTCAACTTGAAATTACTAGTATTTATAAAATGCACCTCATATAGACAAAAACCCCTATCTACCAATATTGGTAAATATATGTATTTGCAAATGGCAACTTAATTCTCACCTTTTTCTTTCAAGATCCGGGAGAGTAAATGGCTCTGTTAGGCCCTCAAAACGAACTATTTCTTTTAATATTTTGTTCAGATGGCTCTGTTGTGGGTAGGAAGTAGATGGGATCAGAGGGCTGGAAATTGGTATAGTATTTTTCTTGTAAAAACCCCATATTTTATAAAGGGATTTTTCCACCCAGAAATATCCATGTGCCCTTGTCTTCCACCTGCAGGTTCACTGCAGTGTAGGAGGCAGCATCACCAAATAATTGGTGCTTACAATGCTAAGAACACTGAAAATTTTACCAATGCTTCTTTAAGGGTTTGATCATCTCATTCTGCAGAAGCCATTTGACTTTCTTAGCCTTGATGCCATATTAGTCGGCACAAGAAATGCAGCACTTGGGAGAGTGCAGTAAAGCTTCCATTGAAGCTGAAACTCTTTTTCCTGTCAATATTACTTAGTCAAATCCTAAACAGCAAAGCAGTATTGCACAAAAATAAACTATCCATAGATATTTTGTTTCAAAAAGTGACATATTGTCTTATACCTCAGTCTATTATGTTCAGAATGTGAATTTTTAGTTTATTGCTAGCAGCACATTTTCCTAAGCAATGGGTGAAGCTACCATTTCAGAGAACTGCTCAGTGTGTGGCCATTTCCAACCTGTAGAAAGTCCTTAACTTTCTCACACATGCATGGTTTATGTAAGGTATAGATTCTCCAACAAAAAGCACCTCAACACACACTCTCTAGCCTTTCCAAAAGGCTCTCTGGGAACTAGCATGGGGTGCTTGCTCCACTTGCTTTGAGGTCTGTGCTCAGGCCCTTCCTAGGCCCTGTCTCTGTGTGTGACTGCTGCCTGGGTCTGGAAGAGGGAGCAGCAACTGCTTTTCAGGTTTTTATTACATAAGTCTTTGTGCAGTGAAGCCTTGATGTCCTGAAATAGGTGTAAAGACTTTGGGAAGTAACTCTGTGCACTCAGGCAGTGAAGCCTGACCAGCGTCTGAAGACCTATAGGCTGAAGTGAAACCTCTGGGGAGATGTTAAGACCTCTAATAACTATTTCCATTAATTAGACTGTGTCTTATCAAGATATGATTACTTGAAACATGCCCATTTTACAACAATAGATGAAAATTTGTTGTGGAGTCCCCAGAAAAGTGATACTGCCACCTGTGTAGGTTCAAACCACTAGCCAAATCCCAAAGTCAGAAGCAAATTTTAAGGAAACAGATTTCACAGTCTCTTCTTAGTCACAATGAACCATCCCACTCAGCATCAAATTTGTTGACTATTGATTTTCATTTTTCATCTGCTTAGCTGATGAAATTAGGCTTGTGTCACATAAATAGAAAAAATGACAAACTTTAGCCTGCTTGAACTTTTTCATAGATAAATGAAAAGAGGTTTTAATAGGGCTGAGACAACACCAAAATAAGAGCAGTGTTTTATTTACTAACAGAGCATGTAGTGCTAAAGACATCATTGAATGTCTTATGTAGAAAGAAAATCTAGTGGCTATTTGAATTTTAAAGTCCTCCATAGACTGAAGGTCAAAAACTGCTAAATGTTTTTTTAAGTTGGATATCTAGTTGTTTTATGCAGATTATAACAATCAATTGAATATCTTTACAGGAAAAAGTTTTATGTACTGTCAGCTCCCATATATTTTCATTAATTTTTGTTTTATTTTTGTTGATGGAAGCATGAGGGTAATTGTTTCTGTTCAGTAACATGGTCCTCCAAAGCCAATATCTCGATATTAAATGGCTTATCGCTCATTTTGGTACTCTTGGTATCCTAAACAGCTACTGAAGCTTTCTAAAAACATGCATCATAGAGATATTTAACATCATAAAGTAAATGGCTCTGTAAATGAATGGCGATATAATTTACAACTTTCCCAATTCAGTTTTAACGTAGTTCCATAATTTCTTTAAAGGTTAGTTCACGCAATTCAATTAAAAATTTCCCATTGAGACCAGTGGGTGTAGCATCCAGCCATTAAATGCATATCTACTATAGGTAATTCTAATACATATAGTATCTCATTATTAGTAGCTATTGATGAGCCTCAAATATATTTTTCTCTAGCTTTCTCTCCCATCCCTCTCAATCTGTGTGTATTTTTAAACCAAAGAATCTCGGGTACAGGGAAAAACACATACACACACACACATATTCATATATATATGTGTATATGTATATCCATGTGGGATTTTATGTATATTATTACGTTGTTTATTCTACCTTTTACCTTAAAAAACAAGAATTTTGCTCTTGCCCTAATTCAAATTTTCTATCTCTAATGAAAATAGACAGTTATAAATACTGTGTCCTTTGAATCATTAGTAAGTTTGGTTTTAGTGTTTGTCAAACAATCTTGTTAAAAGACTAATGTCAAATTGTCTTTTTTTGTGCTAGGCTTGTTTTCTGTAAATTGCCAGAAAATAATTTATTCAGTCTGTCTTTCTTCCAGTCATTGATTATGCAGATATTATTTATCGTACTTCTGCAAGCACGTCTTGGCATAAATTGGATGTGCTTTATCATTCTGCATTACACTGTATTTACAAATGCCCTATTTTCTGCTCATCATTGATGACTTTATTCCATGGTAAACTTGTCTTCATTAGAAGGGCTTAAGCATTAGTGTTCATTTATCAGCAAGGGAATTTGCTGAAAAGCCCCACCATGTTTTCAATCTTTAGCAAATTCTTTTGCCAACAAATATGCTTTCCAATCCTTAGTTGTTTTTCTCCATATGAAATTACAATAAATAGGAAGAATGATTTTCTTCTTAGCACTCCCACCCTCTAGGTATTCTTTTAGCTGCTATTAAAGTTTGGAAGTGATTTCAGTTTTACTTCTTAAATAAAAGAGCCAATAATAGTAAGGAGGTGCAGCATGCCTGGCATTTTCTCAAGTGTTAATGACTGTGTTCAGGTCATCCTAGTTAGGAGTAATAAGTTCCCAGACTAGCAATTTACTTGGTTAAAGGCAGGGCTGACTAGTATCTACACTGTTTATTGTCTTTTTCCTAGTCATGAACACTGCCCACACATGATGTTTCCGAATTTGACTGAGTCCAGAGAATGCATTCACAAGTCTGATTAATTTTCAGATATAGATAAATCTTTTATCTTTATAGCTTTTTTCTTCATAGCTAAGAAAGTATGTTGTATTGCTTTAGTGAGATGTAATTACAGTAATTCATCTGCAGTAAAAAAATTTCATGTTTGAAAATCTCATCTGTGATTGCACAGGCATAAATGTTATGTTAAATCATAAAAGCTGACATTAGTGTAAATAAGGGCTCAACATCCTGTGGAGTGCCAGGTATTTCCTACTTCCATGCGAATTAGCAGGCTATGAAAGTGCTCATAAACTCACAGACTCAAACACCAGAATATGCATGTCAAATCATCACCCTCTCCTGCTTATTTCTGCATGATAATGAAGGAGACAATTGCAATTCTTTCTGCTTGAGAAAGAGTTTGCAATGCCAGCACAATCCTCGTTCTTTACCCAGTACCAAAAAGCCTGAGGAAAAGTAACATGAGGACCGATGTGTCATCTGTTATATTGGAGCATTGCTGCTGTTCTCAGCGGTGTGACACCTCCTCTATAAGAAACAGTGAGAAGGAAATGGATCTCCCTCACTTGATCATTCCAGCTTGATCTGCACATATGCTTGGATGAGGTAAAGAGGTCTTGGTTTTAGAAGTACATCATGAGTAGACGATAGGGTACCTATCCAGCACACTACCCTTGAGCTGCTTCAGAAGAGATATTTTGCAAAAAAATGGTAGAAAGCACAAGACTATTCCTTACGCTTGTGTGGCTGAGTACAAACTCATCATTGCTGGCAACCTCAGAGCTGCCTGTGTTATTTAACAGGAGTAAAAGAGGACAAGACACTGCGCAGTCCAGAGGGTGGACACAGTCACACAGAACATAGGACACTGGGATTGCATACTCTGCACCACATTAGAAAGAGGAATAAAGAAAATGATTTACTGCTTTATTATTCTTTGGTTTTCTTTATTATTCTCTGATTTTTGTTTGAGAATAAGAACAAATGTCTAATGAATGTCTAGAAGGAAATAGGCATCACCGTATCAAGCAGTCATGTGACTTATTTACTTTTGAATAATGAGGCTGGAGCTGTGGTGTCTCCTCTGACATTTTCTGCATTCAAATAAGTCACCACTTTGTTTGCTGATCCATGAAGTTGCCTTTAGGGATGCTAATTCCATATATGCATTGTATATGGAACTATTGCTCACCTTGACTATTTTGGTCATGTATGTGTACAACTCATTATTAATATTGGGTTTTAATTAAAGCAGGCTTTTGATAATCCACAATCACTTTGAAATCCTCTTTCCAAGGAGGAAAAACTCCAGAAACTAAACAAGGAAATATTTACAGGTCACTTTTAAAATAGCAGAGTTGCAGAATGTGTGAGTCTGTCTCAGTTTAACGGGGCTGAAGTGTTTTGCTAAGGAGGATGAATTATGAGGAAGACCAAGCTCCTCCCTCTAAGTAATTGTAAATCTAAAACTGAGGCTCCAATTGAGGAAGTATGGAGAAAGAAAAGATAACAGCCCTTTATTAAATGATGTACATGTATTGGCAGAACAAGAAAAGAACACAAAAACAACTAAACAAAAATTCTGTACCCAAAGTTCCTTTCAAAAAAATCGTTGAGCACTTTCAGCTTTTTGCCGCAATTCTAGCCATGATCAGCAGGGGGCGCTGTCGGGCTCTGGCAGTCTCCACGTGGGGGCCCCAGTGCGCAGGAGAAGCCGAAAATGGAGAAAACAAAACAAAAATCCCTCCACGCACATCCTCTCCCTGAGTCAGGACAAAAGTGCCTGCCGTTTCTCCAGGAGAAAAAAAATAATACCCCCCCCCCCCCCCCCCCCAGTCTTCTGAGGGCCATCAGTTTGGAATGCAAACTGCAGCCATTTCTTTTGTGTGTTGATCACCTCAGCTAAAAGAACCACCCTCCCTGTTCTTCATTCAACATCCCTCTTTGATAATGATGCAGGAGAAAGAAAAAAAATTCCCACTTGGTCTTTTAGAAGTAGTAAACCTATGACAATATCTTTTATACAGCTTTATATGTAGGTATAGACATTTATAATATAAAGGACATATTTGCATGTATATAAAGTATATGTATTCTGTTTTCCTCAGTGTCACATAGGATATCTACATATGTGCTTCCCCTATTATATATGAATAATTTATCTTTTGGTGGGTGCTCAGTTGCTCCTATTGCAGGGCTCCAATAAGATTTTACTGGAATATTTCCCCTTCTACACCTTGCCATTTCAATTAGTTTCCCATTCCATAGAAAACTTATATCTTATCTGACTATGGAAGATGTGCAGTTAAATTTTGGGTTCTACAATGATTGCTTGCTTAAATGTTCACAGAAAGAGAATCTAAAGGGGACACAAGCATAGCTGGCATGAATTAAGATTTGAATTTCAACAGGCATTCATTGAAAGTGTTTTTTTCTTTAAAGGCATTCAGTTCTTCTGATGCAAAGGATTCATCTATTTGTATAGGACTGTCTGAACCTTACAGATCTGAGTTACTGTGCAGGCTCACCATCTGTACTAGGAAAAATCAAGTCCCTAACCAGAGATCTTCTCTTTGCATGCCCTTCCTCAGGGCTTGCTTTATTTCCACAAACTCTAAACCAGAACAAGTCAACTCAAACTGCTCAGTAATAATCACTTGAGGCCTTTTCGGTCACAGCCATCTGGGAGAAGATAGCACACAACATCATGAGATTTTTCTTTTGTAACAACTTTGTCATTCCTTTTACTAGACCATCGTGAAACACCATTACCAGTTCAGTAACCTCTAACATGCCAAATTGGCTTTAGCTGAGAACACGCTGCTCTTTTGCAGTGACTGGGTATGCTGATGTACCCTGTTTTCACACATGTAACTCACATTCCAGAAAAGATGAGATTGCTTTAAAAAGAATCAATACTTCAAAATAGGGCCTTTCATAACCTGAAAGTGCAAGGACTCCCGTTAAAGGGAATGCAGAGAATTGCTGGGAAATAGTGAGACCTGGAGTAACTTGAAGTAACTTTTGCCTTGATTAATTTGCACATGTAGTGATTTTGAATTGCAAGGAGTTTTTGGTTTTGTTTTTAATGAGTTGTATATCATTATAATACCATATGTGTTCATCTTTCCATTCCAAAGGAGGAAAATGAACTTAAGACAGGATACAAGAGAAGATAATGTAAATATATATATTTAAATATATACAAATAGACATATACACTTATGTTTACATATATAGATATATTTACTAATATACATATATACATATATGGTTACGTGTTTATGTACATATGTTTACATATTTATTTATATGTATGAAACTTTAGGGACATGAAGAAAATTGAATATGAAGTACAAGCACTTTTATTTGTGTGGACAGTGTGAACCATTAATGATGTATCTTTCACAAATCCACAGGAGAGCATTTTTTTTTCCTGAAACTTTGCTTTCTTCCTAGGAAGGGGTAACCTGCTGCAGTATTTTGAAAACAGTTGATGGATCATGTGAGTTGTTCTAGAGAAGAGCTATGCTGTCTGTCAGTTAGATGGCAATATACAGCCTGTGCAAATCAAATTAATTTGGCTTTTATTTGCCTCTGTAGCAGCTGAACAAATATCACAGAAATTGAACTTGTCCTACCATAACTGGTAGTCTAATTTCTTCCAACAACCAGAAGGTCAGTGCAAAACAAGTGATTGGTAGTGTGCTATGAGTATGTTGTAAGCGGAAACCAACAGTTTTCAAGATAGGTAAACTTCAGTGAAGGATTTAGGAATGCTCTATTGCCAGTACAGCATGTAAAACCTCACAATATTCTACTTAGCAGTGGTTTAATTGTTACCTGTAAGGTAATTGGAAGAGGTAAAAAACCACAGACCAAAAGGTTCCTTAAAACAAACAAACAAACAAAAAAACCTCTGAAAATGAAACACTAGGGAAAGATTAATGTCATACAGAAAATTAAAACCTGAAAAAAAAAAAGTTAAGGCAATGAATAAAATTAAACTGTACTTGAAAATTAAGTCTTGCTAAATAGCCAAAAAGGGAACTACCATATGGTCCTTACTGCCGTAAACCATGAACTCTTACATTCAGAGTCCAATTCTTCTGAAAACTCTAACTGACTAAATCAGGTCTTTCTTTTCAGTCTGAAATCTAGAAGGTGTTTTGTCCTCTTGCCTTCTTCATCTGCTCACCTTCTTTGTCTTCATCTAAATGGCTGATTTTTAAGTCCTGATGAGAAATACTTTTTGCAATGTCTAAAAGCAGAGGAAGTGGGAATGATGCAGCTCAATGTGTGCCTCCCAAAGTGCAGATGGAAGCCAAGAGCTCTGCAGTTGGCATCACTCACTGCAGTCTTTGGGCTTCTTGATTGGTCTGTACCTTAAGTAAAATGTGACCTGAGGACTGGAAAAAAAAGAGTATTACAACCCTGCTCCTGCCCCTCTCTCCATCTCTGCTTGGGGGAAGGAAGAGGACTGTCTGCCGTAGGATATGTTTGGAAGAGGAGTGATATCAACTGGTATGTAACTACATTATAGTGCTAATCCTAGTTGCAACATTTTCTATAATGAGGTTTTTTAAGGCATTGGGTTAGTTATAGGCATAATATCTTTTCATGGTATTACATATAGCATGAAAAGATATATGTATAGCATATGAAATACAGCTTATGGCAGAGATGGTGACTCAACAGGGTCTGAGATGCCAGCATGCTCAGTGCACTAAATTTGACCTCTGTTGGTGATCTTGTCAAAACAAAGCTCCTGGAATTAAGTGTTTTGAACCTGAATGTGATCATTTAAGTGTAGGTGGCTTAATGATTTAACCAGAAACACAGTTAACTAGCTACTGATGGCAGGTTAAGGATGTATTTTGACAAAACAAGCAAAAAGGTAGATAAGGAAAATAAGAAAATGCAGTAAAATCAGTTGTAAAACAGAGTTTCTCCATTGTACTATTTTACTAATAGTATTGACTTTGCCAGCAAATTTCCCCCTGTCCTTTGTGACAAATTTAGTGCAAG